GGCATGCGCCACCACGGCCCGGCTAAGAGTTATCTTCTTTATTTATTTATTTATTTATTTATTTATTTATTTATTTGTTTGTTTGTTTGTTTGTTTATAAATGACCTCACAAATCTTCATAGATCCTCTGGGATGTCATTGATAATTTTAAAACTAGACAGTTTTGGATTCTTTGGAATTTCCACTACTGCTTTGTCTCTATTCAGATTTTAAAGAATTAGGACTTTTGGAGAAGTACTGTTGCCAAGATCATTCTTGTATTTTGTGTTTCTGTGTTGATGTTTGCAGTTGTCCTGCCCTGTCTTGGCAAAGTTGAGCAGTCACTTTCTTTTGTGTCCTGCTTGTCCAATTTGGACAGCAACTGTCAGCAGTTGAGGCAAGGGCAGTTTCTTGCCCAGTGACTAACTTTTGCCACATTGAAAGCAAACTCCATATGGAGTGTCTTCGATGCCCATCATCTTCTCTGAAGTAGATTGGTGCTGCCAGGAGCAGACACTGTCATGAAAAGTCTTATGTTATTAAAACATCTTAAATGCCATATTCTGTAGTCTCTGAAGTGTTTGAAGACCATCTAAAATATATCTGTTTGACCTTGAAAACACACCTAACCTAACTACAAGTTTGATTGTTACAGATGACTAACTACTAACCTGCATTTTCTAATTATCCTAAATAGTTGTAATAATAGGCTTTAAGGACTAGATCTTTACATTTTAAATGAACTACAGATATACAGTATGTTAAAACAAAAATAACCTTAAATTAGTATCAATATACAGAAATCCGTACCGCTGTAAAGGCTGGCCTTGAACTCAGAGGTCCGCCTGCCTCCGCCTCCCAAACGCCAGGATTCAAGGCGTGCGCCGCCATGCCCAGCCCTCTCGTTACTCGTTGATAGCAGAAGTAATTGCAGTTACTTAAGTTAAAAGACACGGTGGAGTCCATGATTAAAGCCTTCTCAGATATCATAGGTCCACATTTCAGTCCGGCCTCTGCAGCCCGAACTTCTCCCTGGTTAGGTGCCTGTGGTGGGAGACGCGCCTGCAGTCTGTTCTCCCCGCTGGCAAGGTGCGCTATCTGTCCACATCGCACTTAGAACTGAGACAAAGGGAGTGGGGGGGGGCAGTCTTTCCCCTGACTTGAACTGAGTCCGTGGTTAAGGATGACCCTTGCTGTTTCCCATGGGTCTTTAAGAGTCTCCTGGACCCACCCTGCCTGTGACCAGCCTCACACTAGGGCCTCAGCCTGCCTTTCTCCCCTTCTCGTCCCCCTCTCTTCCTCTTCTTGCTCCTATGAAATGTTGGGTGGTTCTCTGTGCACTTACACTTTGTGTAAGCGCCCCACCCCTCACTCACATCTATCTAGCCACCCCACCTCCTAGTGCGGGGCAGGAATCTGTTTCTTGTCGTGTCTTTGTTTTAATGTTTTATTTATTCTTCTCTCATACATACATCTCGGCCCCAGTCCCCCTCCCTCCCTCCCCCCACCTTCCCTCTCTCCTGGAGTCTCCCCTCAGTCTCTGCGAGCCTCCATGAGCCCCGCTTAGTTGGTTATGTGGACCCAAGCAGTCCTGGTGTGGGAACCTGTGTTTTAGACAGCTTTTCAACATGAAACTTACGGACCCTATAAGTCACCTGTTTAGTGTATTCCTGCTGTGGCTTTCGTGTCTACGCAGGTTGTGTAGCTGCCATTACTGCCTACATTTTGGGACATTCTCGTCCTCCAGGAAGGGTTTCCACTGTGAGAAACTTGCCCTCTGCCCTCCCCGACCCATGAGACCGTGGCCCACTTTGATACCATGTGCCTGCTCACTCTTGGGGGAGCTCAGGGTGATAGCCAATGTCCTCAGATGTCTAAAGTGTGTATCAGATACTAGCCTAACTCCAGAGAACAAACACTTCACATGGTCCCAGTGCAGCCTCTTTCACCCCCTTGAGGTGAGAGGAAGGCCCCTTCCCACACCCCTTCAGCTTTAGGGGAGACATGAGAACCAGCACAGCTCTCTTCAAAGAAGGCCTGTCTGTGCAGTTTCTCTATTCTGGGTGTGTAGGCTTAGGAGCCATCCAACCGGTTCTCAGACTCTGGAAACTTGCTGTGGGGTATTCGTTCCCGCAGTTATGCTGGTATCTGATTGCTAGTAGTATCTTGATGCCTCTGTTGAAACCTCACTTTATTAAAACATTTCACGAGGAAGATAATAACCCACGTATCTCTTAGCAGTGCACCTCCTGTTATAATGATATGCTGTTGTTATAATGAAGCATATGAAAACCTAGAAACATTTGGTGTGGGCAGAGGTATGAGCAAATAACCTCATTTCTTACACAAGCTAAATCAAGAACTCTGACTCTCAAGTAATTTTTTTTTTCAGTATACATATTGATAAAAAGGTTAAAAGACAAGGCTGGCCTCACTTGTAGCTGGAATTGCCTCTCTCTCTCTCTCTCTCTCTCTCTCTCTCTGTGTGTGTGTGTGTGTGTGTGTAGTCCTATGTATGTAAGTGGAAGCTGCTCAGTCTGTGTGATGGTCCTTGGAGGTGTGTGTTTCCTGGGCTGACAGTTGGTGATGGATAACCAGTTGGTGTGCTTTTCCCTGGAGAAGACCTTTTCTCCTGACCTTGCCTGTAGTTCTTTGTCTAGGCTTGAGACCTCTGAGCTCTCCTCTTCCATGTTAGTATGTCTGTTGGTGTCGTCCTTGTTCAGCTCGTGTCTCAGCAGCGACATTTATAGGAGACACAGTTCCACAGCAGACTCTCTGTTCCTCTCTGTCTCTCACAATCCTTCACCACCTCTTTCACAATGATCCCTGAGCCTTACCTCGAGGCAGGAGCTGTATTGTAGATATATCAGCTAGGACTGGGTGCCACAATTTCGCATTTTCATCAATTGTGGTTTTTATGTAATGATCTCTATTTGTTGCAAAGACAAGTTTCCTAGTAGAAGTTGGCTAGGTTTCCAGTACCAGGCATGGTTTCCCTCTTGTTAAATGGGACTTAAGTTCAGTTAGAGAGATGTTGGTTACCTGTAAGGTATGCATGACACCACTGCACCCTTAGCATTATCATGCTGTGCTGGCTGTTGTGTGGATCGTAGGCATCCTAGCTGGGTCTGACTATTGGTTGCCTCCCTCCTTTGGAAGCTTGCATGGCACCTTCTGGTACCGTGAAAGCTGTCCTCAGGGAGGAGGCATTCATGTCAGATCCACCTCAGGGTCTCTGGCCCTATATCCAAAGTGCACAGTGTCTTCAACAACAGGAACTTGCCTTCCACCTCGGGTAGAAGACCAACAGCAATAGCAATAGCCTTTGTTTCGGGAGTCTCTTGGACAACCCTGACCAACGACTAAAACAAGGGCTTCTCATGCCTCGTGCTGGCTTTTGCTAGGTAGTCTATGGCTCTTACAGGGATCATTGTCAGCTCCAATGGAAACTTTTCATTTAAACTATATATGTATATTTATATACCAACTTTCACGTAGTGTAGATACTTTAAGGTAGATCACTACTAGTGTGACTACTTAAAACTTTTTCAGAATCCTTACCATTATTTTACCCTCCATTTTTTCCATTTACTCCTTCATATCACATGAGTGTGTTCTTGGTGGTTGGGTAAATGCGGTCACCTGTCTAAATCAGATGTTTTTGTGGGCTAGTTTTTAAAAATTGTAGTTATTGCCAGGCGGTGGTGGCGCACGCCTTTAATCCCAGCACTTGGGAGGCAGAGCCAGGCGGATCTCTGTGAGTTC